AGAACCAATTACATTTAAGTTGTATTTATTTTGTTTTAATGTGCATATCTAAATAACCAATGTTGATGAACATCTTCTCATAGATGATCATTTATCATGTGTTCCGTGTGCATTCGTCTTTAGTGTGGATTAATTGTACAAAGAGATTGTGTTGTGATATTTACAGACATGTATACAGTGCACTTTGATCAAATTCATTATTTTGCCCTACTACTCATTATATTTTCACAATACAAGTCTTTTAGTAAAAGTGTGTTTTGCAAATAAAAAAAACTACCCATGGTTCATGCTGAGATGGCTGGTGGTTCATGTCTCTAATCCTGGCAGCTCAGAAGGCTGAGATCTGAGCTTTCAGTTTGAAGCCAGCCCAGGAGAAAATTCTATGAGCCTCTTATCTCCAATTAATTTAATGGTTTAAAGAGGTAAAGCGCTAGCTTTGAACCATCTGGATGTCACAACTGGATCTTGACATTGGAAAATAAAAATAAATATCTACACAGTTAATTACATTAGAAGAGGACTTTGCTGAAAATCAGGTTAACACTGGACACAAGAGCTGAGTAAAGCCCCAGCATTGTCCTTCCTTACTTGGGATCCAGAGTAGCAGGAGCCCCAGGAGCTGAGCAGAGGACCTCATATCCATGCTGTGATCTCACTGGGACTGACTCTTGCACAGCATAAGAGCAGCCTAGTATGAATCCTCAGGCAGTGGACTGTTCTTGGGGCACATGCAAATCAGCAGAGGCTGTAAAAAGCTGGAAACAACTGCAGAATGCATGTTAACTCTCCTCTGTTGTCACAGGCCAGAGGAGGGCAGCAGAGTTTGCCTGCATAGAATGTGTTTCTCCCTGGTAGCTAAAGGAATCAATCAGTTAGTTTTGAAAGTAGAGTAAGCTCTTGCTCATTTCCTGGCTGCCTGTGAAACTTTTCTTGTGCCTCTTAATCATAGTTGTACTTGATTGAACTTGAAGGAGGGAAGAATTAAGGAAAACGAGAAGCATTCATGCTTCAGGATATATAAAGAAAAATGAACACTGGAAGATTTTGTAGACTATGTGATGTGGTGCACTTTTCTCTAGACATTACCACAGCATGCCACAATAGCAGGAAGGACATACAACTTGTTATAGCTTCCAGTCTTCCATGGTTCAGTCTCCCCCAAAGCATATGTATAAACACATGGTAATAGCTGTTCTACCTTGTAGAGTAAGCCACAGTTGGATCTGAAACTTATTTTACATATTTTCTTGATTAATTAGATACTTTTACAATTAAGTTGGTATACTAATTCTCTGGGGAAATATAAAGAAACCTGTACCTATGAGCTGGGAGGGTGCCTACAGTTCATAAAATAACTCACAGAAATTCACTTGAGTGACTATACTAAGGCTTCCTTATGGCACCCTCGATGACTTCAGAGGTATATACACTCTCCAACTCACCAGTCTGTTCAACTCTCAGCCTACTGAACTCTTATTTTATATGTTGTATGTCAATGATAGGAACCTGGACCTAGTTCTCCACCTAGCATCAAAACAGGAGAAGCAGCTACAGGCTTAAATATTATAAAACAGGAAAATCAGACCATGGGAAAGTTGCTGATAGAGCTCTGACACTGCTCTTACCAGGGATTCTACTGTTATCACAAACACTATAATCATGGGAAGGAAGGCCTGTGTGGCTGTAATCTGGTATGCAGAACTGCTCCATGACAGCTGACTTATACTGAGTTACTCAGGGCAGAATTCAGGAGGGTCATCTCACTAGGACAGCAGAAGAAACCATCTGGCAGAACTGATTCACATACAGAAGTTTGAAGGCATGGATAGTAGGAGCTTGAGCAGCAACACTGGGATGTCAGAAAGGACTCAGGTTCCTTCTGTGTTCCTGTCTCCAGGCAGACTATTCAATCTTGGCTTCAATGCCTCTTGATCTTCAATTGGGCTGTCCCACACATCAAGTATGTTCAAAACCATTCCAGAAAGAAATTTCTAAGAATTTGCCTTCCCTCTTTTTAGAGGAATCAAAAATTTTATAACAGCTGTCTGCTGCCTTCACATCTCATTTCTGATATGATCCCGGTGAACCTCTAAACTCTGCTTGGTGTGCCTTGGGGCAGACTCACTTGTCCTTACCAAATACAAAGGAGAGATTTAGAGGATGGTATGAAAAATCTGAATCTCCCTTGAGGACTTTGCTCTGAGTTAATGCAGGCACTCACAGCCACACATTCTCCTCCAGTGACAGCTTTAGCTGCATCCTACAGATTTTAGTTTTTTGTATTTGTGTGTTCTTGTGTGTTATAATTATTAATATCTCTCTTGATTTGTTCTTCTCAACTTAAAATTTGTTTGTAGAATTCTTCCCTTCATATTTGTGAAGTTTTCAGCTTTTCCTTATTCCATTCGTTTTTAAACTCAATTTCATTTTCTTCAAAAAATGGTATAAGGGTTTTAGTTTTTCTAAATGCATTAAGATATTTTTCAAATTCATATAATATGTCTTGAAAAAATATCCATGGGCACTTCAGAAAAGTGCATATTGTGCTGTTAATGTTGGAGTGTTACATGTTTTTTAGATTTAATTGGTCTATAGTATTGAAGAATTAGAGACTTCATGCTTGTCTTGCTATCTGTTTATGCATTATTGAATAAAATAGAAAGGGTTCTCATTATTTTTTCCTTTAATTTTGTTAATGATTACTATATTTTACAATATACAATTGTCCTATGTTTGTGGTAATTTGGCATCTTTTGTTAGAAGTGTTTAGTTCTCATCTATAAAAGATATTTGTCAATATTATCAGATTAGCTACTCCCAATTTTCTATCTACAATTATTTCCATAAAACTGATAGCATTGAATAATAGGATTTTACCTTTCTCTTCATAGGTTATATTATCACAGAACAGACAATTTTCCCAAGTGAAGTTTATTTCCTTAAACAAAAGTAGAATTGTTGTGTTTTAAATGCAATCTTTTATTGCCACTATAACATAAAAATGCTCTTTGTTATTAGATGAACAATCATGTAAAAGTGTAAAATTATATATTTATCAACTCAATATAGATATCATTCTCTAGTTAGTATGGTGAAATAGATTTCAGTTGGCACAATTTTATTCCTCAATGCTGCACAAATGATGGGCATTGATGTCTGTCTGCACTGCTTCTCTGGTGATGCAGGTGTTGCTGGGCGATCTAGTCAACATGTCAGTGTATGCTGCATCTCACCCAACTCTACCTCATGGGCTCTGTTGGACCAATCTTCTCATCAAGCACTCTCATATTTGCATTCATGTGATGCTTAAAAGCACTTACAATGGAAATACTGGATTTTTCTGAAATAGCCAGATATGAGGCCTTGATATTTCATAATCTGGGTCATTCTTATGTCCTGTCTATTAATGGTGCAACAAAAAAAAATTGGCTTAATATGTATTATTGAAGGGTTAGTAATTCGTGTGGGGGGGGGGGGTTCCAGAAGTCAAATAAATACTTGATAATCACCAGGGGCAGATTCAATGCATGCCAGAGAATAGAGACTTAGGCTCTAAAAGTGAAAGGCCTCTGAGAAGAGCTTTGTGTTCTAGAACTAGCTGTTCAGGTTCAATATTGTAGATTCCCATAGAATAGTTTAAATAGGAGCTTAAGACACCAGAATCCTCTGAAGTCTGTTTAAAACATTATAAACTAGCAGAATGTATGTCTCTCATACTAATGTCTGTCCTTGACTATAAACAACTTCCCTTAGAGCATACTCTTCTCTCCAGACTCTTTACCTGTTGGGTTATACATTGTATATTTGTGCAAATAGCTCAGTCTTTCATGCACTAGAAGACAGTCTGTCAGTTCCGCCATGGACTTCATCAGGATTAAGTTAAGAAAATGAAATTTAAAGTTGAGTATGAATAATGACTTGCTATATCCTTACACTATAATGAACTTGCAGCACTTTGAAACTAAGAAATTTTTCAAGTAAGAAGATTCTGATCACTCATGTGACCTGTATCACTGAATGCATATATGCTGTCAATCCTGAAGCTTCTCATTTTCATTAGGATTAGCACATATATGATGTGAAAATGAATGCTTATTTTTTAATCAATAAAACTGGATAAGGTTATAAAATCTATTCAGTAATGGATGACTTGAAATGTTGTACAATGTAGGTTATTTTCTTAAAAAAAAAAAAAAAAAAAAAACATCTTGAAGAAGCCAGGTGTTGGTGGCTCACACCTGTAATCCTAGCTAGTAAGGATGCTGAGATCTGATGATCGTGGTTCAAAGACAGCCCAGGCAGGAAGCTCCATGAGACTCTTATCTCCAATAAACCACTCAGAAAACCAGAAGTGGTGCTATGGCTCAAGTGGTAGAGAGCTTGTCTTGAGTTGCAGAGCTGAGGGATAGTACCCAGGCCCAGAGTTCAAGCCCCATGACTGACAAAAAACAAAATCTTGAAACAATACACTTTTAAGTCTAAACACATTCATTTACAAAAATACATTTATAAATCATGAGTGCACAACTGTTCATCAGCACAAATGGTTGATTATTAATGCCAGATCTGATTAGCTCAACAAAAATCAGTGCTACTCAATAGAAACACCATAACTGCCACTGTCTACTCAAAAAAAAAAAAAAAGAAAAAAGACAAAGACAAATACAAAGAAGAGGAAGAAGAAGAGGAAGACAGCGATGACGAGGGGAAGAAGAAGAGGGAACGAAAAGGAGGAGGAGGAGGGGGAGGAGAAAGAGGAGGAAGAAGAGGAGGAAGTGGGAGTCTCTATGTAAAATCAGTGTTAAGGAGCATGGAGAAATATCTTGAGCTGGACAGAGCTTGAGAAAGATCTGAGTGAATACAAACTGTTGCCTTTCTTGTCCCCACTCAGAGCAGTGAAACAAGAAGTGCAGTTGTGACTTACCCTGCAGCTTTGATATACAGATCATACCGCTGGCATGATATTGCATCCTGAGTACTGACCTCTTTTGCTCTTCCAGGGGCATGAACTTCATGGGAACTTTTATGCCAACAACCTGACAGGATCCAGTTCCAATGAGAATACCATCCACAGTTTTAATGGTTGCTTTGGAGGTACCTTGTCTGTTTCCTTTCACTCATTTCCACCAGCCATATTTGTGACTTACTGACTTACAAATATGCAGAGGGGTAAAGAATGATGGATGGGTGACATTGTTCAAGACACATAATATCCCATGAATTGGCTCATTGAAGTTAAGTCCTTTTGTACTACTAAAAGATAATACAAATATTTATTACTAAAGTCTTTAAAAAAAGAATATACTCACACAGAAATGGTCTACTTACAAATTAAATGATAATGTGTTAGAATATATAAATAGAAATTTGTTGCCTATAATTAGTGAAAAAATGATTAGGACATTAAAGAATTATAATGTTAATTGTTTATGTAACATCATTTTGAGTTCTTGCAAATTGAGTATGAACATTAGGAACCCACAATGGGCACTTCTCCATGTGACCTTTTCTCACAAACACAGTCTGACTATGGTGAAGCTCAGGACTCACCCTGTGCACTTGTGGACAGAGCAGTACCCTGCTCATTGGAATTCTGGAGAGCAAAATGAAATTGCCATCTCTCTCCCATCCTGCCCTCTATGATCTCTGGGATGTGCCCAGTGCATCAATTTGCTTTATGTAAAAGTCTTCAGTGTGTTCTTTCCCTTTCCAGCTCTGACTCCATGAACATAATTCATCATCATTGATCACACAGCTGTGACATCTTCAGAGTTGCCTCTCATGTTCTCTCACATTCTTTTCCACTGTTGACTTGTAGTTCAGACTTCACCCTAAGAATCCTGATGGGGCAGTCAACATTGGCAGGGATTTTGGGCTACAGATCCTAATGTAAAATAAAATACTTGGGAACTTGAACATTGGGAGATGTGGTCCATTGTAAACAGACAGCCAGTGCCTTGAAATCTGGGTGGAGAGCTGCCAAGCTTCAGGCTCCTAACGGTAAGGATTTTTAACATCAGCCTCAGGGCTTTGTTTCTTGTTGAGTTTGCTTACCATCTAATGGTAGGCATTTGAACAGCAGCATACATGGTCTTTTGTTAGGAGTACTTAACATTTTCACTCTAAATCTTTTCATTCATATTCATGAACATGATCCTATTCTGTCCACTACTAAATAGGCTTCCATAGAAAACTCAAATGTCTTCTGCTGTCAATCAATTTTCTCAATGTTAACAAGACTTCAAAGGGAATTTTGTAATGGAAATAGTCACAAGACAGTTAGTCTGTATTATATAATCCATATTATATAACAAAGGTGTGTTTTGGCCAACATAAACCTCTGGGAAACCTTCGAAGATTCATTGATAAGGAACTGGGGATAGCTGACTGCATGAAGCTCATGAAAACTCTATGCTGAGCAATTGAGTGGAGGTGGCAGCTATGGTCGCTAGGGCCCAAGGGGATCCTGAATGACATCTGATGCTTTCATATGGTTCCTTCAGCCCACTCTACCTCCCATCTGATCTTGGTTGTGGGGAAGGAGGAATGCTTGCCTCGAGAACTCCAAGTGTGCACCTGCTTTATACATTTTCCTTTACCTTTAGTGTCCTACCTAATTGCTAGATATTTTTATACTTTTGATAACACCTCTTTGGCAGTGATTGCATTGACTTAGTGTGTAGAACAGTAGGATTGTGGGTGTAGGACACAGCAGGACGAAACTGGTCAGAAGCTTGCTGCTAGATACATCAGTTATGCTCCTGTTCTTGATATCATAAATGTCAACAACTTCCAGCAAATGACCAACTGATTGATGACATCAGAAGAGAACATCATTAAAAGATGAGAAAATAGCACTCTGGGAAAAGACATCTGAGGTAATATTTAAGACAGAAACAGTATTCCTGTGTAGCCAAAATGGGCAGATTAGGGAAAGTCATACTTCAAATGAGGAAAAACACAAAGGTGGGACTAAAGCTCAGTTTTATGCATGTTTGTGCATTATTATTTAATGTGCTTTAATTATTGAATTCAGGCTGTATAGTTTGGTGATATAATAAGTGACAAAACTGTATCACTTGTTGAATTTAGTGATTTATTTCTATATTTAAGATGCAATTATTATTTTGCATTGCTAATACTTGTTTATGTGACTTTAGATATTTTAGATATTTTTCTGAACTTATCTAAAGCAGGTAATTAGCTTCTGATTAAACAGTAAAGAGATAAATTTGGAGTGCATGCTTTTAGTATTTACCAGTCATTTTGGGAGATCACATGGAAATTAGTAAAGACATAATATTGGCATACAGAAAATTTCTGATCTACAGCTCAGGAATAGACCGTTGAATTGATGTTCTGAGAAGTATTTAACATAGAACATAAATGGAAAGACAACAAGTACTTGACACAAATGAAAAGATACCAAGTACTTGATACTTTCTCTACTTTTATTGGAATAAACCCATGACAGGAATAATATTATTCTCCTTTCTTTCTTCTTCACCCTCTTCTTTTTTATGTTTTTTATTGCAAAAATAGTGTACAGAGGGGTTACAGTTACATGAGTAAGGTAATGAGTACATTTCCTATTGAGCATTGCTCCCTCCTCCTTTATTTTTCCTCTACCATCCCTTCCCTCCCCATTCTTCACCCTCCTGTTACTGTTACCTGATAATAATTATACAAAAATAAGAATTTTAAAAGAAATGCTTTTACATACTGATTATCCTATGCACTCCTAACTTATCCTCAGGAAGGCATGAAGTGGTAAAATACTTTTTATAATGCATTATTGTTAAAGGCAAGGCTAATTCGTTAGATTAATTTGGCATGGTGTATCATGAAAGAAATGTTGCCGGGCCCTGGTGGCTCATACCTATAATCCTAGCTACTCAGAAGGCTGAGACCTGAGGATCATGGTTCAAAACCAGCATGGGCAGGAAAAACCGTGAAACTCTTATCTCCAATAATCCACCAGAAAACTGGAAGTGGTGCTATGGCTCAAGTAGTAGAGTGCTAGTCTTGAGCTGTCCATGCCTACAGATCAAGCCCCACAACTGACAAAAAAAGAAAAAAAAGAGAAAAAAAAAAAGAAATGTCAACTCAATATAGGAAAAATGAAGCAAAAGAATTGCCTAAATCAAGGAAGCTTCTGGGGCTAGCTTGCCTGCTGGACTAAACATTGATGAGCTTTGTGATACTTTACTGACTGCATATAATTAGACCAGTGCTGACCATATGGTTTTTCTAAATTAATAGAATGTCCATATTTGTACTGTACTATATGGTAAGTTTCTGTGCATATGTCAGTGACATTAGAAATAAAGCTAGTGTAACTAGAAAACTCAACTTACTTTTAACTTGCATTTATCTAATTATGTTTAGTATGCATTTATCTAATTATGCTTAGTATTTAGCATGTGAAACAGCACAGTTTTTGACAGTGATACCAGACTTACCAGTATTATAGCTATGCTTCTACATTTGGAACAAGATAGAGCTAATACGTGGATGGATCTCTAAGGCCTTTCCTGAGTTCTGTACCCCCCACCCCCATATGATGGAAACTGTTAGAATGAAGACAGGAACAGCAGAGCCTAAGTCCATAGTACTGCCAGTAGAATATGAAAAAATAAGCATAATACCTGTCTTATGCTTATGTGTATTGTATTAAGGATTACTCATTCAATGGTCTTCAAACAAATTCATTCTGTTTGATCAAATGGGGTTGTGAATATTGGGCCTGCTGAATGGGGACTCAAACTGAGACCTTGGAATTTGTGAATGTTCTCTCATGGACCTCTCTACACTCATTTTTCTCAGCTAGAATCAGAGTACCAGGACTCAGTGTGAGAGCTCAGGCTCCAGGGTTCAGTGCTAGGTGTGCTCTTAATTGATGAACCCAGAGACAGTGACACAGCTCTGCTAAATGTGTGTTAATGGGGATTTGGAAACATGCATAGCTACAGGTGGGTTTCAAGCTTCTGACATAGAGGTAATCTGTTACTGCCATGGTCCAAGACTGCATGCTTGATGAAAAATATTACCATACATTTTATTATTAAGCGAATAGAACCACAGAAAGACAATGATTCTTATATAACTGGTTGGTTTTTATGCTAGTTAATTTGTAAAGCAACTTTTTCAGTGCACCATGGATCATATGAAATCTGGAATTTGCACTTCCAATGAATGTGTACTCGGTCTTGGTGGTTTCTATTTAATCCTGGTGTCACATGACCAATTATGACAACTCACAGCACATCTCAGGTTGGTCCCCAAACTTTATTTGATAAATACACTAGTCTCATCTCCAGGTATTTCATTCAACCACAAATGAATATTCCACTACCCAAATCCAAAGTGAGGAAATCTGGAATCTGGAATGAGGAAAAAATGAAAAGCAGTAAGGGTAACATTCTAATTGCTCTTATTTAAAGTATTCTCAACTCTTTGTAAAGTATTGTCCTATAAATTCTGACAAAGAGATAAATTGGTAGAAGAATGTAAAAGGGAAATTCTAAATTTTTCTAATTATTATAGGATAGGAAGAATACCATTTTTCAAAGACAATGTCTGGAATTAGAGTTCATGATACCCTTGGGTATCACACTCAAATCTAAGAATCTCATGGTAGGTCTTCTGTGGCGATGCACTCTGACTTCTGATGCCCTGGACCTTAGATTACCCCAGTACTAATATCTAAGTCTTTGTTAGGCATTCCTCCATACCTTTGAAAACTAACGCCAAAGAAACAATAAATGTTTAAGGCTATGAATATGTTAATAACAAATTTCATCATTAGTCAATGTCCAGATTGAAAACTCATACTGTAACCCAACAATTTTCACACTTATTATGAGTGAATCATGGTGGTTCATGCTTATAATGATAGTTATTTAGGAGACTAAGATCTCAGGATTGTATTTTGTAGTAAGATAGACAATTCCAAGAGACTCTTCTCACTAATTATCAGACATCTGGAAATGGAGAATCCTCGAGCATGAGAAAAGGCAGAGCAAGAACAAGAGGCCTAGTGTTGAAGCCCCAGCACTGGGATCAAAACAAAACAAAAGCTTTTTGAAACTTTATACTTTTTACTCACATACACACTTTAATATTTTTAATCTTCCTAGGGAAATCAAAGACGTGTTCTTCTTTTGATGGCTAAGTCTTAGCTAATGAGATAATCCAGATTATGTACTGATACGTATTCTTTATTAAATCATGAGAGGCATTGCTATGTGCTTCCTGATGGACTTCAGGAGGAAGAAAGAGTGTTAGGGCACTGAGAAGTCTTCTTTTCCCTTTCTACCAAACCCTTCCAATGACTTTCACTACCCAGCTACAAATGAAAACTCTCATAGCCGGAGGAAGCAGAGGAAGAGCAGTTGGGGTAGCCCAGCCTCACAATTCTGTACTCTGGGAGCTTTATATTATGATGTATATCACTCTGGCAGGCTCACTTCTAAGTTGTTGACAGTGATAAGTAGTTGCATTTTTCAGGCTGCAGGCTGCTGATGGCAAGAGTGAACTCTATTCCAGATCCACTGCAACTGAATGACATCCCAGATACCAAATGAATTGCATAATTGATGAAAGGTTTAATCCATTTCCCTGGTTTCAGTTCATATAAGAATAACTCATTATTTATGTCTTTACTGCCCTGACCATTGATGATCACTCTGTCTCCTAGAGATGCAGGCAGGGATGCAGACTGGGTCATCTGGATGCCACATTTGGCACCTGACATTAGAAATATAAAAGTAAGTATTCACATGGTTAATCATG